AGTTCCCTTAGCAGCATCGCCCGCGGCTGTGCGCCCAGCCAGAGGTCCCAACAACATGCCTACACCCCTGCAACCGCACCCCTATGTCCAACCAGTGTGCCCAGATGCGCCCAAGCGCACCCATACGTGCGGGACAACTCCCAGACGAGCCCAGCCGCACCCCAGCACGTCCAGTAGCCCAGCGCGAGTCCTCAATCGTGCCAGCACGCCCAATCGCGCCCGTGCCGGTGCCTGCGACCGTCGAAACCAATTTATCCCAACCATTAGACTATTTTTCTAGCCGTTGACCTCGTTTTTCTTGTCGAACCCATTTCTAGCCTTCTTTTAAAAAAATCAAGTTATTTACCCTTAAATTCGAGAGTTCCAAATTCAACAAAATTTCACAAACTCCTTAATCATAAATTTTGATAAAGTGAGAATTTGTTATCTAGATAATTGTTTATGAGAAATTATCTTAATTAATGTAGATTCTTGAGGAGTCGAGCCTCAAAACCTATCCGAGATTTTCGTGTGCTATTTTCATGTTTCATCAAACAAGTGGGTGTTGATAAACTTTACCATGTCATTATTCTCTATAATTACTTGGCTTGATAATCAATGTATGCATGTGAACCACTAGTTTATGCGTCTTTCACCCACCGATGGGTTATACCGACGACATCCTCTTATTGTGCATTTAAGTGTTTCTCCCACCGATAGGTTATGCCCGTGGTTAGCTCCTGCCGATTGGTTATGCTTGCGGAAAGGTGTGTACACATAAGCATAAGACCGTATAGAAAGTAGACGTGGTGATTTGTGTTCATGTTGTGATTACTATTTATGTCATTATATTGAATATATGTGAATGGTAATTTCCACGGTGAGCTTGTTCTTTGCTCACCCCATTATTTCTATTCTATCTTTTTCCAGCTGAGCTGGTGCTCGTGGCAAAGGATGGATGAGTGAGGTCATTTATATTATTATTATGAATTGTTTACTTGCTTCCGCTTATTTCTATCATGTTTTGCCAAGACTTGTGTGATTGGCTTTGGAGACTTGGTATTGATTGTGAACTAGTTTATTATGTATATGTTTTGAAATTTATGATTGAGTATGTGATGTCATGTCTTGATTGGATCATATGACTGTGTGTTTACTTGGGATGGTTTATTTCCAAGGGCTTGAGTCGATACTAAAGCTAATAAATTGAATTTTGGTTTGAGTAATGCCCGTTAAATGATTTAATTGGAAAATAATTTCTGAAAAATTTACTGTGGGCTTTGAAAAAAATACAGTATTTTTCTTTTAAAGGCAATGCGGTGTTACAAGATCTCGTTATGTACAAGTCATAAATTTAACGTCAACAATAAACCTACACGTAGTGAATCTAGGAGTTTAAAGTAAAGAATTTACAGCTAAAAATTGCAGACTCTGAGACATTGTAGATTTCCGTTGTTGGAGATCGTCTAACCTCAAAAACTACTGGGCTGCCTGATTTTTTCTCGTTGGACCTTGAGAAGTTCGTCGCGGTGCAGCGGGTCGCACGGACGGGCTGCAGCTACAGGTCGTGGTCGTCGAAAGTCCACAAGAATCTTGCGGGTGATGGCAGATGCTGCAGGACGTTGCTGCGGGCTGGAGCCGTGCGCTGAGACTGCCAAAAATGGGGCTCGACTGCTTGTTGCTGCTTCTCAGTCCCTCGCGGTGGCACGCTGGGCTTGCGTGAATGTCGCCAGTTGATCTCGGTGTCTCGGTACCTCGAGATCTTCTGCTATATTGCTTGAAACCTCTCCGGTTATCTCGGTACAACAACAAAACTGAAGATAAAGCTCGTAGAGAACTAGGGGGACATTATGCGTGTATGCGTATGAAGTCTCTTTCCCAATCCCATGAGCTTAATTGTGTATTTATAGGGCTATAGTTGGGACCCTAAGGAGGTGATGGTGTGGGCTTCTTAAGTATTGGGCCTAACTGTGGGCCAAACCCATTCTGCTCAATGACTTATATAATATTTCGATCCACTAACGAAACATTATTGCACTCTCTTATCTTTCCCGAATTATATTCGAGACTACAATTATAACTACCCGAATTACCTCCATATGTTTAAGATAATGCCCATCAAATAATTTAACTACTGATAATAAAAAATTGATTGACATCTTGTAAACCAAAGCTAGTACCAATCACATTTTTATTATGTCGGAATTTAATCCAGCTGAAGGGTTTAATATAATAATTCCATGATGATGACATGATGATGATGACATGAGGGTCTATTCATTTGGGATTTCTAAAGGGATGCTTGAATATAAGTTTTTTTTTTTTTTT